GCAAACTCCCCTGCTGGGATGATCGAAGCCCCTCCCTCCAAGTCCTCAGCTCTCACTGAACTCAATGAGAGCTGGGGAGCTAATGCCTTCCAAGGTGCACTCATCACTGCACAGGATAGGGGTCTGCAGCGGAGATTCGTTACACTAGTGATGAATCTGTACCACTTTGCAACAGGAGGTTGTGCAGCTGAAGCTCATTCACCCTTGTCTCTGACAGGCTTCAGGTGGCAATCCCCTCTGAAGTCAGTGGCAAAACTTCCATTTGACTTCCATGCAAGTATGATCAGGCCCTTGTACCTTAAAACATTATGCCTCGGGACAAGTAAAGCTGCTTACATGAAAATGGTGCACTCAAAAGCAGAGCCTGGGTCGGAAACTATTGACACATCACAGCAAACCTGGGAAAAGTCCTGACTCTCTATAGCAACCTAAAGACCCAGTCACATGAGAGGCAACTACTGCTCTCTGGTGCATGTGTGGCTTCTATTTAAACACTGGGGGAACCAGATACAAGCATTCAATGACAGAATGTGGCTCTGAATTTGTAGTTTGAATAAGGTAATAACTATATATTTTGTACAGATTTCAGGCCAATTTTATTTTCATCCACCTGCAAAATTAAAGGCGGTTTTTAAAATTGGAGCCCTCTCTGTTACCATGCTAGGTTAAGAGAACAAATTGAAATAAAAAGCAGGTTTGAGTTCCTGGTGAAAAAAAATTGTGACTCAGAGCATCATTCTGGTTTAGGACACACTAAAAGATAATTCTAGGCCATTATCAGAAAAATGAATGGTTTGCTATTGAAAGCTTATTTTCTTTTTTCTATTTATTTTTAAGATAGCAAGCAGCATTGAAGAATGCTCTTGGCATTCTTTTTAAGTGCAGTAGTGTTTAACCATGGGCCATCTGCTACAAAACAGGCAATCTGCCCGCTGAAGATTACAAAAATGTAAAGACTTGAAACATAAATCGTAATTTAAAGGGATACTCTCCTTTTCTGCAAAGTATTGATTGGGAGAATCCTATATTTGGTACAAAGTAGAACAATTTGGCAAGAATGACAGGCAATCCAGAGTCAACGACATAACAAAAAGTCATTGTCATATTAGAATTTGAATTAAAAATGTTTTGTCCTACAGTAGAGCAGTCTGGTTTTGTGATGCGTATTCTTCTTCTAAGCTGTGCTGGGAGCTTAGATAAAAGTGACCTGTAAACAGATGCAAAGCAATGTCATTATATAAACAGGACAAGGAAAGGCAGTAAATCATTTTACTTGTTTGATTTCCTGTCCTGGAAGACAAGCTAGATTTAAAAAAAAAAATCTGCAGAACGGACACATTAATTTGTTTTAAAGGTAAATGGATACAAGAACTCATATAACAGATTCAAATAAAAATATGCTGGTGAAGGTGTATATATAATTTAATGAGTTCAATTCACATCCTTGATCACTTTAAATTTGGTAGACTTCACAGCAGCATTGGATAATATCAGTCACGGTATTCTTTGACATGATTTTTTGAGACCATAAGCTGCATTTTTAGGAGGAGGCAGATGATACCTTAAATGTCTTCCTGCCATCCTCAGAATATCTGAAATGTCACAGACATGGCACTATGGTCCTGGTTTTCAAAACTGCTGAGTGGACTTCAACTGAAGCTGTGGGTGTTCTGAAAATCAGATCTATAATAAACAACATTACCACCAGGTTGACACTTTTGTTTAACAAGAAATTCCTGGAATAATTGATTAACAGTTTTCATTTATTTCAAGGTTTGACTTCTTAAATTCTTTATTTGCTCCTGATCAATTTCTGTCCTGAACAAAGTAGCATGTATTCATACAGGCAAGAAGTTCAACCCCAATACCTTTTTCAAGATCTCCAAATTCACTTCTCCCCAGAATGCTCTGTAATTAAAGAGTTTTCTTTCCTATTTTTGATGTATTTATAATTTACACCCTTACAAAAAGTTATCTGTACAGATTTATATTTTTTCCACTTTTAATAACCGTTTTACTTAGGCAGAGCTGTGACATCCTGGCCCAAATAGAGTGTACTTCTCTTTTTTACCACTGACCTACAAGTGTGGTTGGGTGATTTACATGTTAAGTTCTTGGAATGTTGTTGCTTTACATCATCAGCACCATACAAGTGAAGGTAACTGGGATGGATGCAAGAAATCTGTCTGTCCATCCTATTTCAGGGACAATCAAAAAACCCTTGTGAAACACACAAAATAACCATGTAAATTGGTAAGCTCTTTGGGACTGGGAGCATCTTATTGTTCTGTGTTTATACAGCACCTAGCACCATCAGGTCCTGGCACATGACTGGGGCTCCTAGTCCTATGCTAATATAAAGAAATAATAATAATGCTATCAAATGTGAATAGGTATTTGGCAACAAGGTAAAAAGGAAATGTTACCTTTGCAGATAGATCCTCACTACCAAGGGAACATGCTCCAACAAAATCTGGTTTAGTGGGACCAATCTGACACTTTGGTAATTTAGGACTCCTGCAGTGATCAAAGAAACAGGACCCTATATCTAACTGTGTAATTACAGTAGGTGAACATCCTCTGGCGGGTCACTCTAGCTGGGACAAGTTGAGAGACAGGAGGGCTTAAAAAAAGCTGCACTTTTTAACATTGGGGTAACTAACAAAAGCAAGCAATCCTGAGGCAAAAACATAGTGAAGAGCAGGCACTGCAGTTTTATAAGATAAACTCACTGAGGGTAGCCCTCTATCCCTCCTTGGGGTTGACCATGGCAAGTTTACCTCATGATAAAATTTAAGTGCCCTGAGGTAAAACAAAACAAACCACAAAACCCACAGCTTTTCTAGCAGTGAAGACAAACCTCGAACAGTAACAGCTCAACAACTCTAGGAGTTGAGGTTTAACTTTTTGAACTTCCTTTCTACCTGTTCCAAAGTGATACTGTAAGCTTGACATTAGTGATATCTTCACTGCAAAAGGTTTGTTTTTACATTGAGCTAGCTACTTTAATGTAAAATCCCAGTCAAGCAAGGCTGTGTACTCGTCACCTGTAGGTAGCTAGTTAAGATCAATCTTATAGCTCATCCACAAACACTCCTGGTGTTTACCCCATAACGACCACAGTGCCTCCTTGCCTCAGCTGGATTTTACAGCGAGACAGATACCTGGTGAATTACTTAAACCAATTTAAACCAATACAACTGCCAATGTTAAATGTTTATTGTTCCCAAAAAGTCACCTATCCTGGCTTCCCCAGGATCATCCCGTTTTTTAAGCAGCTGTCCCTGGAAATATGGAAGGGTGCTCAGTACACACTGCCAGCTGTCATTTTCTGGGCTCAAGATCACCCCGGAGGGCCCAATTTTTTTGTACCTTGGAGGTGGCAAGAGACCTCATATCAGGCATGTTGCATACACTGAACCTATGACAGAGTCTCATAGGAAGGACATGCTATTGGGCTAGGCAGACTGACCTCAGGCAAACAGAGCCAACCTGGGCTGTTACTGCCTGCTGCCCTGGGTTTGCCTCCTTCATTCTCCTAAGAACAATCTGAATCTCTCCCAGCATAGCTTCAGGGGCTCTTGGTGCTGAGTTGTAGCCCCAATGCTGGCCTTGTCCTGTTTGTGTGCTCAGGGCTTGCCATGCTGACTGCTCACAGCCTCCCCCAGCTTCTAAACAGGAGTTTGGTGCCAGCTGCTTTTTCACTGTTGGAACAGTCTGGGGCTGGAAGGAGGAGCCTGGGCCCCAGACACACAGAAGCACAAACTATTCTCCCTCCAGTGCATTACCTACCCCTATCCATGCTGGAGCTGAGCATCAGGGCACCCAGTGCAACATCTCCCCCTCCCCCAATCCATGCTAGGGCTCTCTAGTGCAACATTCCCCCTCCCCACCCTCCATTTGTGCTGGGGCTTCAAGCCAGGGCTCTCCAGTGCAACATCCTCCCCCTCCCCATCCATGCTGGGTCTGGGACTAGGGTGACCAGGTGTCCAGTTTTCAACCAGAACACCCGGTCGAAAAGGGATCCTGGCAGCTCTGGTCAGCACTGCTGACCAAGCCATTGACTGCGGCTAGGGTAACCAGATCACAAGAACAAAATATCAGGACACATGGGAGGGGGGCCGCCGCCGAAGCAAAAAAACAAAACAAAACAAAACCAGAGTGCAAAATATCGGAACAAATGGCATCCCCACCATACATTGGTTGGGATGCAGGACAAAACTAAATATCGGGACAGTCCCAATTTTATTGGGACGTCTGGTCACCCTAACTGCAGCACTGCCAGGCTCCCTGCTAGCCTCTGCTCCACTGGGAGGCGCCTACAGACGGGGCAGCGTGCAGAGCCACCTAGTCACGCCTCCGCCCAGGAGTCAGAGGACATGTCACTGTTTCCAGGAGCTGCTTGAGATAAGCACCACCTGGAGCCTGCACCCCTAACCCCCTCCTGCCCTCCAAACCCCTCTATCTCAGCCCGGAGCACCCTTCTGCACCCCAAACCCCTCATCCCCAGCCCCACCCAAGAGCCTGCACCCCCAACCAGAGCCCTCACCCCCTGCACACCCCAATCCCCCTCCTGCCCTCTGAACCCCTCAGTCCCAGCCCAGAGTATTCTCTGGCACCCCTAACCCCTCATCCCTGGCCCCACATCAGAGCCCCCGCACACACATACCCTAGCCCCTTCTCCAGCCCAGAGCCCCCCCGTACCTCTGAACCCCTTGGCTCCACCCCTCAGCCCGGAGCCCCCTCTTGCACCCAAACCCCTCAGCCCTGGTCTCACCCCAAAGCCCACACCCCCAGCCGGAGCCCTCATCCACTCTCCTATCCCAGCGCCATGCCTCACCCCAGAGCTCCCCCCCACTCTAAACCTCTCATTTCTCACCCCACCTCAGAGCCCGCACCCGCTCCCGCACCCCTGACCCAGCCCAGCGAACGTGAGTGAGGGGGTGGAGTGAGCGGGCCCCGGAGAAGGGGCGGGGCGAGGGTGTTCCCTTTGTGCAAGGAAAGTTGGCAACCCTAGCTGGGAGGGGAGCCCTCAGGGCTCTCCAGTGCAATCCCCCCCCCCCCCATCCGTTCTGGGGCTGAGAATCGGAGCTCCTCAGTACCACAGCCCCTCCCCCCCGTCCGTGCCAGGGCTGGGAGCTGGGGCTCCCCAGTGCCACAGCCACACACCCCCCCACCGAGGCAGTGCCGGGGCCTCTCGCCACTCTAGGCCCTGCTGTTCCCGTTCCGGATTTGCAGCGTGGCTCCCCGCCCCGGCTGGGCTCGGGCTGGTCCCGTGGCGCCTGCCAGCGGAAGGGAAGGGAGGCGCCCCGGGGACAGAGCGCGGCGCGATGGAGGCGCTGCTGGCCCTGGCCAACTGGAGCACGCTGCTCGTGTGCATGGTGATCAAGCTGCCGCAGGTGGTGGCCGTGCTGGCTGCCCGCTCGGCGCGCGGCGTCAGCCTGGAGAGCCTGGTGCTGGAGCTGAGCGGGTAAGAGACGGGAGCCAGGGGGCCAGGCTCTGCCTTTGCTCCCGGCCTGGGCCCGAGGGACTCCTTAGCACGGGGAGCTCGCCACGCTTTGCCTGCTCCCCTTGGGCCCGGCCGGCTTCACACGCCTGCCCAGGGCTGAGGACCAGTTGCTCTCCAGGCTGAAGTTTACTGAGGGCGGGTCCTGACCGTGAGCACAAGGCGGGATGTGCGCCCAGCTCATGAACCCTTGTGGAAAAGGCGGCGCCTCCCAGTAGCCCACCGAGAACTAGCATCGCTCCCTCCAGCTTCAACGTGCAGCAACTTCCCAGCCCCCCAGGCGGCCATCCAGGGATTCCCAGCCCTGGCGGAGACACGCTGCACCTTCACCACCAGTATCACCGCAGCAGCGAGACCTTGGCTCCCAGGCCTGGGCTTCAGGCCAAGAGAACGGGCTGGTATCTCATGTACTTTCAGCAAATGTTTTATAAGTTTCCGTTCCCCAGAAAGCATGTTTTAAGTGAAATGGGATAGTCCTTGACCTTGGTTTCATTCTTAAAATAGGCCCCAACACAGGAGGCTGACTGCTAAGCTTGCCTGACTTCAATTGGAAATAGAATGCTACTTAGCTTTCTTAAATTAAAAATCCTTGCTTGTCGGAAGACAATAATATTCAATTAACCTCTTATGAAATACGCGATTTGCTATAACAAAGAGATCCAATAGACATTGTATATGTGTGCTTAAAAGTAAACCCGTTTCGGCCCAGGCTCATATGACTTACCTGAAATGTTAGTCAACAGATAGTGCTCAGAACTAGTAGTTTTGAATTCCTGGTAATGCCAAGATTCCCCCAGGGAATGGTAACCAATCAGGTTATTGATTCATCCTTGCAGGCTTATTTTAAAAAGCCTTGACTTGAAAACCTATTTATTTATGGAGTTAGTCTGTGTAACTTAACCTTCCTACTGTTGTCACCTTCATCCCCTATCCCCCACCCACTCAATTATTTTTCTCCAGCAGCTGTTGCATCCTGTCTTAATTTAGACTGTAAGCTCTTTGGAGCAGGAACTGTCTTTTTGATTTGTGTTTACACAGCACAATAAGGCCCCCAATTCTGACTGGCACCTCTGGGTGCTACTGTCATACAAATAATAAGAAGCAGAGAATTGTATGCTCCCTTTTTGCAATAAGTTTGCTCAACTTTGTAAAGTGCATGCAGCTGCTCTGGTGCTATTGTCATCACAAGCCCTTGAAAGAAATAATAATGATTCCCAAGCTGACAGACTCGGTCATACAGGTGGTGCTGCTCTTTACTGGCAATGCTTTATATAGAAGGAGCAGATGCACTGATGTTTAGATCTGCTGAACTGGAGTCACAGCTTTTGGATTATGTTTGAGAGTAAAGTCATTGGTAAACTGCAGCCTACATAAAGATCTCTCAACCAAGCCTCCACCTTCAATCCAGTCACTCTTAGAAACTCACTTCTGCTATAAAACCTACAAGAATCAAATGTATTATTATTATTAAAGTTCAGAGTAGGACTTGAGTGCTCAGCAACTCTTTAAGAGGAATCTTAAAAAGCTGATCTTGTATATGTAATCCTGTCTAACTGCACCCTATTCTACCCTCTCAGCTGTTCTCATCCTCATTTGTGTGGTGTCTGGATTGTGACAGGATCTGGCACAATCCAGACAAGGTACT